AGCTGCGCTCATTTGTTCCAAATCATGGTCATCCTTCGGATGGCAAATTTTTCAAATACAAATGGGGCATGTGCGAGGCAGTCTTGGAGATAATTCCTTATGTAGAAATGCAAGTGTCAGGTTCTAAAAATAAAGCTGAAGGGTAGTGTCTGAGTGAGAACCACTGTGTTTACTCCTTTGACTCCTCCCCTAATTTGCAAATGCCTAGTGGTGATACTGCAGGGCTGAAGTTCTCAGTGTTTGTCTTCACTGGAAGGAAAGATGCTACATAATTTTAATAAATAAAAGTGTTAATAATCTTTAAGAGTTCAACTCTTTAAAAAGCATCAATTCAAACTAATTATTTTAATAAACCCACACTTGGATGCAAAGCTACCAGGTGATTATGAAGATAACTGTGATGCATGTTATAATCACGCACATCAAGGAACTATCACCATTTCCCAAATATAAGAAATACGCTTTTTCCCCCTAAGGAGTTAATAGTGAAGAAGAGAAGTAAATAAGTGGATAAAAGAAAGTTAACGTCTAGTTCACATTTTCTCCCAGGAACAGAAACTCAGAAGTAAATAGTACGATCTATGAAGATTTAAGGTTGACTAAAGCTTAGTTAAGTTTAATGCCACTTGCGTCTGATGAGCAAGCTGGTTAATAATTAGATAAATGAAGATAATCTATTCAGGATGAATTTAAACCACTACCATAAAGAATCGTAAGCACGCTGCTGACAGTCTGTTGTGCTGGGAAATACGGTCTGCTCTACGCGATCATGGAATGTTAAGGGAATTAGTGCTATACTAAAGCTAAAGAATTAATGCTGTACTCAGCATCTGAAAAGTAATTACTGATTTAAACTGAAGTATCTATAGGGTCTTATATCTTTAGCTTCCTAAACAATATTAGATTACACATTTACTGAAGGGGGTGAGCTAACAATTCTAAGCATGTGTTCCTTATACAAAAAAACCAGCATCCCCAACCTGTCTGCCATCTATAGTGCCCATGTTCCTATTTTCTTCTCCAAATGGTAATGGATCACACCAATCTATTGGAGCTATCCCACCTGACATCCCTATTGACCATCTGAGACTTCCTGAAGGCCACTGGTTTAGTCTCAGAATAAAGCAAAGGTAAATGCGTCCACAGTGGGTTTAAACCTTCGCTAATCAGCTCATAAGGATGGTTAACATGACAGTATCATGGGGGTGGGGGGACGGGACAGTATAATGTGACAGTATCATGGGGGTAGGGGGACGAGAGGGATGTGTTAGGATGTGAAGAAGGGTTAAGAGTCTTGGATAGTGACCAAAAAAGTAGAAGATATTCTATTTACCATGGATGGAATCTAATGGAAGGGGAAGGAGAGGAGAGAAAAAGATTACAAAATGCCCTGAAAGTGACTCATTCAGAAAGCTCTCTTTGGGCAACCAGTGGGACCGCAGAGTGAGGAGATGGAAAGGTAAGGATTAGACCTTGGAAGAAGTGAGATCAACAGAAAGAACCAACAATGCAAAGCACACATTTCACAGGTTTACAAAACTCTTAACTCTTTCAGGACAGTCCCCCGAGTCCCAAAGAGCTTCTACTATTTCACTACGGTCAATGTCAAAATGTAATGCTTCCTTCAGGAGGCCAGCAGTCTCTGTCCTGATGTTTAACACAAGGCAGCGTGGCACGTTCTATGAGACTGCACAAGGTCGTGTAAGTCTGGGTTCCCTTTTTTCTATAATATCCTTAACTTCAACATAATCACACACAATGCCCAAGATGAAAAAGAACCGAACACATACAATTCCACATCGTCTTAGGCTGCACTTAAAAGATGGTTAATTTTCTACCTTGGATGATAGGCACTTGAATTACCTTCTTATGCAAAGTTAGCTTGCAAGTTTGATTCATCTCAGTGAACCACCAGAAGCCAGAACCCTGAGTAACTCTGGAACAGACCAGTTAACTACGCTCGTTCTCATCGCGAAATGAATGATCTCTATACAGCAGGCCAGGCTACTGAGCTTCTATTCTAACTTCATTGTCTTGTGCTCAGTTTAAAACAAACACACAAACAAATCTCATGAAGTGGTTCACATATGACTGCAGATGCCTCTTCTGAAGTCATGAGCCAACAGTCATCAACAATTTGATACCGCAACTTTTCTTGGATCACTTGCCCAGCAAAAACATCCCGTGACTTTGGCCATTGTTACTTTGTGCAACCCAGGGCCAGAAAGATCACTCTTCTCTGACATACTTTTAAAGTAAAAAAGTTGAAATGATAAAATCAGTTTTCTGGTTTCAACTACAAATCTCTGTATAATACTGTACATTTACAAAGCAGCTGAAAAACCGTAATATTACTCCTTCTGAATGATAAAACTTCCTACAGGAGGCAATTCAGTAGGTAGGAGTACCATTCCCATCGCTAGGGAGTGATCCCAGGCTTTGGGGAGTGAAGTGGCCAGCCCAAGGTCAACGCTGGGGGTGGGGGATTGAGGCTGCAGGGGATCAATCAAAGGACTAGCTGAGGAGAGCAACACAGTATGACCTGGGACACTGGCTGCACCTGCACAGAAGTGGTCTTGGGAGATGTGACCCATCTATTAGCCAGTCTCATCTACTGTGCCTGACCCCGACACGCTCTTTATCCCTGTCATACAGGACTCGTGCATCCCAAAGGAGCCGCCGTCTCAGTCCACCTGCGATTTCCTCTGCCTGACGCGCTCCCCACCCGTTTCTTTTAGACTGCTTCCATCCAACCTTTACACTCAGCTCAAATGCCAGCCCTTCCAGGAGCGGACCTCCTCATCGCTCTCGGAGCATTCCGGATTACCTAATGTCAGTGAGCTATCCTGACTGGTTCTGTCATCTAGGGAGGGGGGCTGAGGGAGAATGGGGGCATACATGCGGTGGTACTCATCATCTTCTCCTGCACCTGACACATGGAGCAGGTACTCAGTGAATGCCTGTGAACTGAACCACAGCGACCGTATCAGGCTTCCAGGACAGAAGCCTCCAGACAGCTCAAGTGGAAGCCACTGCCCTCCACATTCACTTGAGTTCCTTGGGTTCCTTTCCCGGGCTGGCTCCTCGAGCAGACGATGGCCACATCTCTAAGCTAAAACACTACCATGGAATCAGGTTGGGTTTTTGCGCTGTTGCTTTATTTTCATCGTAACTGGAAAACCTTTGGTTCTTTGTACATTTGGAGTCATTTCAAATTGTTAACCTGGAAGGCAAAGTGACAGCCACAGTTCTGGAGTATTTCCTGGGGAACGGACGGCATACCTGTTTAAGAGTGTGAGTGCTCAAGTCTGGGTTCAAATGTGCCATCTGCCAACTGGGGGACTTTGGGCAAGACACCCTACACTACTTCCCGCCAGGACATGTTCGCCTCTGGCCAGCACCTCCTGTGGGCCAAGTGCTGGCTACACGGCGGTGACCCGGCTGATCACCCTAAAAGATCCGCTCATCGCGTCCGCCTGCTTGATTTCGTTCACAGCACTTACCACTACCTGAAATAGTCTCGTTTGCTGGCTCGTCGCCCCTCGTGAGAGTAAGCTCCATGAGAGCAGGGGACGGGTCTGTCTTGTCCATTCATTGTCTCCATGCCTGCGACACAGTTACTCACTCAGTACACGAAAAAAGGCATGGGGAAGTCCGGAGAGCGCGCTGTGGTCCCATGGCGCTTATATTCTGGTGACAGCAGGGAGGGAAAGTAATATCAAAACGATAAAGGTTCGTATCGGGAAGGGCCCTGGCCTGCTGAAAACACCCGTGGCACACGAGGCTTTCTCTGGCATCAGCTCCGGGCGGCTCTAGGGAGAAACGGGGTCTCACCCCGCTGGCGGCTTCCGCGGCCGCACAGACGTGAGCGACGGGCGCGAGGACGGAAGGAGAGCTGGGCCGTGTCCCATCACAATTCCTGCGGAGGTTCCTTCCACTCATGAGTTCAACAGACACGGGGCCCCCGACACGTGCTGGGCATCCAGCAGAGAAGGGCGCGGGCCCGTCCTCATGGAGTGTCCCTTCCCGCGCAGAAACACGAGGGGGTAACACGGCCCCTTTAGGGGGTGGGGATGCCGACCGGCCGCGAAACGGTGATGGGACAGGGAGGGCGTGACACCTGACCTAACACCTGAAGAGGTCGACCTGGTGGTGAGCTGCTGCAGAGGAACCTTGTGGGCAAGGCTGCCGTCCATGCTCACGCTCGAGGGCGGAACCCCGCAAACTAGCAGGCGACGAAGCCGGCGGCT